ACACACACACACACACACACAAACTCTTACACACACACACTTACACACACGGGACACTCCTGTAAGAGTCCCGGATGGTCAGTCAATATGGCTGCATAGCCGGTGAAAGCTCGCAAACTAACATAAAACCATCAGTTTGTAACTATAATTAGTCATGGGGTCATTAATGACATTTAATTAGATTGTTTAAACTGCGCGCTCAGGACTGTTGGTCTGTAACTTAGCGCATTAAATACATCATCTGTCTAATTGCATCAGCTGTTAATTTGTTTCATTTGTCTCCAAACCATTTAAATTTATGTTTTTAAAAAATACAGCGCATGAGGAATTAATTTTGTGCTTTATTTTAAATTAATTTCAGTATTACTGTCTACGTTATAATAGAAATGACCGTTAAAGCGCACACGTCAGACGGCCTCTCGTGAGTCAATACAGAAGCATCGCCATTAAAAACACACAATAATGCAGTCGAACACCGGAAACCCTATTGATTAATAAAGAAAAACAGTATGCTTACTTGAAATAAAATGTTGGCTGCTCGGAGTCGTTATGGGGAGGATTATTCTTCTGTCAGCTGACTAATAACTTGTTATCCTCTTTTTCTTGTTGTGACAGCAGCAGCAGCGGCAGCGCCGAATCTGGGATGCGGCTACGGGTGCCGTGAAGTGCTTTTCTCAAACACAGAAGATGAGGCGTTTCATAAATTGACCGCTAGATGGCGCGCTTTCACTTCATTGATTAGTGATGAACTTCACTGCCTTTTGAACACAACACAAAACCTACACAGTTTCCTGATGCAGATACTTAATAAAAAAGTTACATTTAGATACTGAATAATCTAAATAACAACATTTAGATACAAAATGAATGGAAACCCTACAAAAATGTACAAAATTATTAAACATTTTGAATACTATTTTTGCTTCATCAACTCAATCATTCTAAGAGTAAGGGCCAGGGATAGTAGGGAGAAATGGAAATTAAAAAGAATATAAAATAATAAGTGAATAATTACTAAAAAATAAAGGATAAAAACATTAAGAAGTTTTAATAATATTAATAATAATTAATAAATTTAATAATATTAATTTACTAACTGCTTGTTTTCTTTAACAAAAACTAACACTAGCTTTTCTAATCTTTTTGTATTCTGTCTATTTGTTTTCTTTTTATTTATTATACAGTTAACAATAGCAGAAAAGTCCTCTAACACTAGCTTACTCTATTCTTTTCCTATTCTATCTGTTTTCTTTTTATTTATTATATAATTTTAAAAACCTTGCTACGTGTACTGCATTAAGCTAACTGAGACTTGTCATAGCACTTGCATATCATTGCTCTTTTGTTGATTTTGGTTGCTTCCATTGCCCTCATTTGTAAGTCGCTTTGGATAAAAGTGTCTGCTAAATGTCTAAATGTAATGTAATCTAAATGTAATAAAATTGTATTGAGGTGCACTGTTTACAACACATTTAGCATATATTAAAAATATATAATTTGAGCAGAAAAAAATATTTTTGCTGTATATTAGAATAGAATAGAATCCAAATTTTCTGTGATATTTAACACAGATGTTTCTTTGCAGTTGTTCCGTCAGAGGAAAGGGTTCACATGTACCTGAGCATGACGTTTAAGCAGTGAGTAAATTATTTTGTACTTTTGTGTTCAGCCACTCCAGACTGGCACTTTCCTGTTAGAAAGGGAAAGATGAACATGTGTAGGCGGTAGATGCAGAGCTCTATTTATGGCATTGGTTCATGCTTCGTCAGGTGTTATTGTCCTTGTTTAAGTCTGAATGTAGTGTATTTTCAGTTAGCATGAAGTGCAAACATTTGTGCATAATCAGTAAGTGACTAAGAATATCAAACAACAACAACAAAACATCCTAATTAGTCTGCATAGCACTTTACTTCTCTGAAGTCATATATATACATGCTCTATACATCTACATAGAAACGTCAAAAATAAGATTTAACATTATTGATGCAACTTAAATGCATTAATTTATATCAACATAATTCAGTTTTATGGGTTCAAACAGATTTTAAAAAATCACAAAAAATGCACATTCTCCTTTCTGCACATTCAGAATACGCACTGTGTTATAACATATGTGTGAACCGATGGCATTTTTGCGTAAATGATACCAAAGCTGGCTAAAAACAATGCAAGTGAAAAATAAAACTGTTTTTTCTTTTCCCACCACACCCTGCTTGCCAGTGCATTTGGTGATTTCATTCATGAAGTGTTGTGAATTTGATATATGAGGGAAAATATGAGTGTGTGTGTGTGTGTGTGTGTGTGTGTGTGTGTGTGTGCTTGTGTGTGTGATTCAGGGACTTGTTTCATGGTGAAGTCATTTCTCTCTCTCTCTCTCTGTGTGTGTGTGTGTGTGTGTGTGTGTGTGTGTGTGTGGCAGAGATGAGC